CCCCCCCCCCACAGCCTCTGCCTCGGGAAAGGGCAGCTGACATCATTCTCCTCTCCCCTATGAGGTATGTTATACAACTGAAAATCCCAACTGCCTTGCAGGGGGGGGTGAGTTTGAGGTGTGGAATGGAGTGTAGTCCAATCAGCTTCCATATGCAAATAACCTTGGAACGCTGGGCGGGACTGCACAAAGCAGCCAGTCAACCCAGCCAGTGTCTTCTGAGTGGCAGTTTTTCCGGCCTAACACTAAAGGGGCCAAATTTAGAATGTTGCGAAATAGAACGTTGCTATTCAATTATTATAAGGGAGAGATTGTTACGTGTACCTCAATACTGTGTGACCTCTGAAGAAGACCCCCAATAGGGCGGAAACGCGTCAGGTCATGGGTATTGGCCCTTGTGTCTAGGTCACGAATACTTTCTAACAAAGCTTTCATTGGGCCCGTATGTTTTTAAGTGTCTTTCTAATAAATGCACGTATTTTTGTATATTATAAGTTTTAACTAGGTTTTTAATATTGGCCCTTTATCAAGACTTCTTTCTTACCCTTGTGGTTCTTGATTCCAGTTTTTGGGTCAAGTTTGCTTCCCCCCTCCTTGTGTCTTACTTGATTCCCCACTCCTCCACATGCAGCTGCTGGTGTGACCTTGGGTCAGTCACAAGTTCTCTCAGAGCTGTTCTCTCAGAGATGTTCTCTCAGGGATGTGGCTGTGAAGATGTTCTCTCAGAGATGTGGCTGTGAAGAAAGCTAATGTAGTCTTAGGATGCATTCACAGAAGGCTTGTGTCCAGATCACGGGAGGTGGTAGTTCCGCTCTATTCTGCTGTGGTCAGGCCTCACCTGGAGTCCTGTGTCCAGTGTTGGGCACCACATTTGAGGAAGGACATTGACAAGCTCGAGTGTGTCCAGAAGAGGGTGACCAGGATGGTGAGAGGGTTGGAAGCCAAGTCTTACGAGGAAAGGCTGAAAAAGTTGGGTCTGTTTAGACTGGGAAAGAGAAGGCTTAGAGGGGACATGATTGCAGTCTTCAAGTATCTGAAGGGCTGTCATGGAGAAGATGGAGCGGATCTCTTCTCTCTTGCTCCGGATTGCAAGACTAGATCGAATGGGTGGAAATTACAAGGGAGTCGTTACCGGCTAAATATCAGGAGAAACTTCCTGTTAAGAGTGGTTGAGCAGTGGAACAGTCTGCCTCGGGAGGTGGTGGATGCTCCTTCGCTGGACGTTTCCAAGCGGAGGCTGGACGACCATCTTTCGGGTATGTTGTAGGGCTGTCTTTTGGCTCTGCTCCTGCAGAGTGCAGGGGGTTGGACTAGATGACCTGAAAGGTCCCTTCCAACTCTAACATTCTATGATTCAGAGCTGTTCCCTCAGGAGCAGTTCTCAAAGAGCTCTCTCAGCCTGACCTACCTCACAGGGTGTCTGTTGTGGGGAGGGGAAGGAGATTGTCAACCTCTCTGAGACTCCTTTGGGTAGTGAAGGGTGGGGTGTAAATCCAGTATCTTCTTCCCTCTTCTTCTTCTTCTTCTTCTTCTTCTTCTTCTTCTTCTTCTTCTTCTTCTTCTTCTGCTTCTGCTTCTGCTTCTGCTTCTGCTTCTGCTTCTGCTTCTGCTTCTGCTTCTGCTTCTGCTTCTGCTTCTGCTTCTGCTTCTGCTTCTGCTTCTGCTTCTGCTTCTGCTTCTGCTTCTGCTTCTGCTTCTGCTTCTGCTTCTGCTTCTGCTTCTGCTTCTGCTTCTGCTTCTGCTTCTGCTTCTGCTTCTGCTTCTGCTTCTGCTTCTGCTTCTGCTTCTGCTTCTGCTTCTGCTTCTGCTTCTGCTTCTGCTTCTGCTTCTGCTTCTGCTTCTGCTTCTGCTTCTGCTTCTGCTTCTGCTTCTGCTTCTGCTTCTGCTTCTGCTTCTGCTTCTGCTTCTGCTTCTGCTTCTGCTTCTGCTTCTGCTTCTGCTTCTGCTTCTTCTTCTTCTGCTGCTGCTTCTGCTTCTGCTGCTGCTGCTGCTGCTGCTGCTGCTGCTGCTGCTGCTGCTGCTGCTGCTGCTGCTGCTGCTGCTGCTGCTGCTGCTGCTGCTGCTGCTGCTGCTGCTGCTGCTGCTGCTGCTGCTGCTGCTGCTGCTGCTGCTGCTGCTGCTTCTGCTTCTGCTGCTGCTGCTGCTGCTGCTGCTGCTTCTGCTTCTTCTCTCACCCACTATCCATCCCAGACTTGCATCCAGGCACCGGAATACTAGGCAGGTGCACGTATCCTAACCTTTCAAGGCGCTAGCTTTTTGCAGATTCTAATGCCTCATCCAGAATAATGTCTGGAGAGTTCTGAGAGTCCAAATCCTGGGACAGTGCAAAGGGAGGGCGAAGCATCGGTGGCACCTTCCAGTCCCCTCCGCAGTACAGTCAGGGGAAGTGTTCCAAGTCTGCCTCTTTGATCCCGACAGGAGCCAACGGAGGAGTCTGAGGCGGAGGAAGCACTGCCCTTCAAGAAACCCATAGAGGAGACTGGCTAGGTAAGTTTCCGGGCTTGGATTCCCCCCATCTGAACCCCAATGATTAGGGCTACCCGCTGTCAGGTAGCCCTGTCATGGATTTGGAATGTGTGTGTGGGGGGGGTATTTCTCCTTCTCGTTCTCAGCTCTACCCTGTCCGGCCATGGTATGCTATCTCTGGCTTGACCTCATAGTCACCAGCTGCATTTACTCGGCTGGGAACGCAACGGCTTTTTGCTTGCTTGGTGCCAGTTCGGTGTCGTGGTGAAGTCCGCGGACTCTAATCTGGGAGAACCGGGTTTGATCCCCCACTCCTCCACTTGCACCTGGCTGGATGACCTTGGGCAAGCCGTAGTTCTGATAAGAGCTGTTCTTGAAAAAGAGCCGTTTCTGTCAAGAGCTCTCTCAGCCCCACCTGCCTCCCAGGGTGTCCGTTGTGGGGAGGGCAAGGGAGTTTGTAAGCCGCTCTGAGACACCTACGGGTAGTGAGGGGCGGGGGATAAATTCAATCTCTTCTTCTTCTTCAAGAGCAGTTTCTGTCAGAGCTCTCTCAGCCCCACCTGCCTCCCAGGGTGTCCGTTGTGGGGAGGGCAAGGGAGTTTGTAAGCCGCTCTGAGACACCTACGGGTAGTGAGGGGCGGGGGATAAATTCAATCTCTTCTTCTTCTTGCTTGCTTGTTTTCCACACGCGCGAATAATAACCACTAGCTTCTGCTTAGGGGGGGGGGGTGTGACCTGGCTGATGACCCTGGCACCTGCCTCCAGGCGACGTCCTGGACTGACAACTGTTGTCCGGAGTATGGAGATCAGTTCCTGTCAGGTTCCTAGTCAAATCACTCTCCACACGCACTTTGGTAGTGAATGCTTTATTTAGAGGTATGAGATGCTGTGGGTTCAAACTCTTTGTTAGGACTGATTTGCAGAGGCGGGAAAATACAAGATATAGGTAACCCCCCCAAAATTCCATGCACACCTACGTCAGCGTTTCTACAGTGACTCTGAAAGATGTACAGTCACTATCTAGCCAGGCACAGTCTTCTCCGAGGACACTTCTCGTGTGAAAGATGTCTTGGGGGCCCCTTAGGAAAATTACCCTAGCCAACGACACACACACTCTCTCTCTCCCCCTAAGGAATTCAATGGCAAACGAGGGTGGCGATAAGAATACAAGCAGTCTAATTCAAGAACGGGTAATGCAATCAATTCAGCCAGCCTGTCCCTATGTTAGACGTCCGAGTTTGACAGTTCCCCTGGGAAAAAATGGCTGCTTTGGAGGGTGGGCTCTTGGGCATTCGACCCCACCGAGGTCCATCACGTCCTCAAATCCTGTCTTCCCCTGGCTCCGGTCCCCAAACCTCCAGGTATTCCCTAACCAGGAGCTGGCAACCCTACCTATAGGAGCAAGCATGTCTCCTTCTGGGGCCTTCCTTATGCTTGCCGTGTTGTCCCGTCGTTCTTCTATTTATTTATTTATTTTTCAAACTTTCTTTATTGAAAAAACGATTAAGCTTACAAAAAAGCACACAGTGACGTCAGCGATGACAAAGAAAAACGACGCCATGAAAAGTAGCTATTCCTTTACATCAGTGTGCTTTCACGTCTAAAGAAAGAACATTTACATAGTAACACTAAATATTCTGTATCCTAAACGCTGATATAACTGATACAACGCCAATATAACTGTATCCTAAACGCTGACTATACATCAAACAAATTATAACCATTCCTGCAATTGAGACCATTCGTCTGATATGAGAAAGTGCAGAAAAGTGCAGATACGAAAAAGTGCAGAAAGGGGCAACTCGAATGATCAAAGGGTCGGAACACTTTCCCTATGAAGAAAGGCTAAAGCGCCCGGGGCTCTTTAGCTTGGAGAAACGATGGCTGAGGGGGGACATGATCGAGGTTGATAAGACCATGCATGGGATAGAGCAGGTCGAGAAAGAGGTCCTTTTCTCCCTTTCTCACAAGACAAGAACTCGTGGGCACTCCATGAAATTGCTGAGCAATCGGGTTAGAACGGATAAAAGGAAGTCCTTCTTCACCCAAAGAGTGATGAACACACGGAATTCACTGCCAGAGGTGGTGGCGGCGTCTACAAGCATGGATGGCTTCAAGGGGGAATTAGATAAGCATATGGAGCAGAGGTCCATCGGTAGCTATTAGCCACAAGGCATAGATAGGAACTCTCAGGCTGGGGCAAGGGATGCTCTGTCTTCTTGGTGCTTGGGGGGGGCAACAGTGGGAGGTCTTCTACTGTCCTGGCCCCACTGCTGGACCTCCTGATGGCACCTGGTATTTTTGGCTACCGTGTGACACAGAGTGTTGGACTGGATGGGCCTCTGGCCTGATCCAACATGGGCTTCTCTTATGTTCTTAACCATCGGTGGCGATTAGCCACAAGGTATAGATAGGAACTCTCGGTCTGGGGCAAGGGATGCTCTGTATTCTTGGTGCTTGGAGGGGGAAGCAACAGTGGGAGGGTTTCTAGTCTCCTGGAACCACTGGTGGACCTCCCGATGGCACCTGGTATTTTTGGCCACTGTGTGACACAGAATGTTGGACTAGATGGGCCATTGGCCTGATCCAACATCGGCTTCTCTTATGTTCTTAACCAACGGTGGCTATTAGCCACAAGGTATAGATAGGAACTCTCGGTCTGGGGCAAGTGATGCTCTGTATTCTTGGTGCTTGGGGGGGGGGCAACAGTGGGAGGGCTTCTAGTGTCCTGGCCCCACTGCTGGACCTCCTGATGGAAACGTGCAGATCTGTTCTCACAGAGGAGGGAGGGCTTTGTCAGTATCTGTAACTATACTGGCAAGCTGTCAGTCTGCCATGAGCAGCAATGTCCGATCTAGGTGATCTAGTTATGACAGTCAGTGGTCAGTTGACAAGCTGATTGCATCAGGCTCTGCACAATCACCATGACTAGACTCTATGTAAATCACTGTGATGTGATTGGTCTTTGTAAATATAAATGTAGAGCTGTACAGTGCTGAACATCTCCTGTGTGGGATCAGTTGTCTGCGAAGCACCTTGTCGGAGCGAACTGTGAGTTGGACTCAGAAAGGCTGTAAATATACTCCAGTGTAAATAAACTGTAAATACTCTAAACTACTCTGCTACTTTTCGGCGTCTCTAACTACCGTCAGGCTTGTACCTGAATAAAACTTGTTCTTAAAGGTGCCACTGGACTGTTTTGGATTGCTAGCTATTTGGGGGGTGCACAGATCTGCCCTCACAGAGGAGGGAGAGCTTTTACCTGAAGGCGGGCCAGGGGGGGCTCTGCAACTTACCTGTCTGCTTCTTGCTCTGACTGAGGGCTGCTGGGAGCAGGGGGTGGGGCTTGTTGCATGTGCCCTCCCCCTGGGCTCCTTACTGCCGGAGCTCCGCTCCTGTATGCTCCTGCAGGAAATGACCCCTTTGGCAACACTGTCCTGTTCTATAGCCTGCCAACTCCCTGCCAATCTTCATGCCAACTCCCTTGAGGAGGCCAGCAGAAGTAACACTCACTTCTTATCTCTTAGGAAACCAGGTGAATGAGAAACCCTGGAAAGGTGGCTTCTTCTACTCTGCAGCAAGATACATCTGTCGGACATCACATTTTCACATCTCGAGAAGGAGGAGGAGGAGGAAGCGGTGATATTTTCCCCCAGCTGCCTTTGCGCCAGTCGTCTCGCTCTTTCTTTCCTGCTAGCGAACCTCCTTGTCTCTGATCAGGCCTCTTTCTTGGACAACTGCATCTGTCCGTCACTTGCGTGCAGCTCTCTCGGTAATTGCAGACGGGGCAGCCAGTTCTGAGAAGGAAATACACCCAGTCTCACCCTCACATGTGGCTTCTGGCGTTGTCGTTTCTAGCAGTACTTGCTGAATTGTGCTCCCCTGTCTAGTGAAGGCTGGAAGGGCCTGAAGATCTAGCAACGTGGGACTTTTGACCTTTGCAAGCCCTGACAGTCGTTCTCCAAGGGCTTGGCTAGAGAAAGGGCTTCCCTAACACCAACATGGTTGACTACCTGGATCTACCTGCTATGGGGTTCTTTTGACTAGAGATACCACAGATCGTGCCTGGGACCATGAGCTTAGGGCAGGTTTCTCCACGCACCATCCTGCATCCCCCCTTACTTTTACACTCTTCTTTGCCTGTGTGATGGACCGTGCGTGTTCTGGCCTGCAGGCCACATTTCCACCCTACCCTCCAAAGGGTTCCCAACTCCCTTGAGGGGCTTTTCCTTCTTTAGGGTAACTTGCTGCCGCCACCTGCTCTTTTGTAAGGAATTTATTTATTCAAACTTTTACCCCACCCTCCCAGCTTCCTTTCCCCATTCTGAGGCCTTGCCTCTGAGGCTCCCGCTACCCAATGCCCAGTTACCAAGGGGATAGTTTACTGCCTTGAGTGCCCCTGGGGAATAGCCACTTGCCAACTGCCTTGCCTCCCCCTGGGCGCCCCTCTAAAAATAGTGTGTCCAAAATAGTGGAGGTCTATACAATACAGAGAACCGCTCCCAGCATCAAAAGCTTAACGTTTAAAGGTAAAAGTTTAAAGCAACTCGAATGATAAAAGGGTTGGAACACTTTCCCTATGAGGAAAGGTTAAAGCGTGTGTCTGAATAGTGTGTCCGAAATAGAGGAGGTCTATACGATACAGAGAAACGCTCCCAGCATCAAAAGTTTAAAGGTAAAAGTTTAAAGTGACTTGAATGATAAAAGGGTTGGAACACTTTCCCTATGAGGAAAGGTGAAAGCGCTTAGGGCTCTTTAGCTTGGAGAAACGACGGCTGAGGGGTGACATGATCGAGGTTTATAAGATTATGCATGGGATAGAGCAGGTAGGCAAAGAGGTACTTTTCTCCCTTTCTCACAATACAAGAACTTGTGGGCACTCCATGAAACTGCTGAGCTGTCGGGTTAGAATGAATAAAAGGAAGTACCTCTTCACCCAAAGACTGATTAACACATGGAATTCACTGCCACCGGCAGTGGTGGTGGCTACAAGCATGGATGGCCTCAAAAGGGAATTAGAT